ATACATTGTGTGTATCACAGGTATACCAGCTATAACTTAAGAAGCAAAAAAACATAATTTGGCTCAATGCTCTCGGATATCGCGGTTCCCGTGGTATTGCTTTAAGTGTCGTATTCGCTCAGCTCTCCGTGGCATTAATTTGGTGGCCATGGTGATGCTCAATACGGCTGAATTGTTCGATTCAAGTGAAACTAAGGCTTTCCTGAAAACTAAGCAATTGTTCAATGCTATATTTCTCTACATTTCAATGTTCTTAAATTACGACGCTGTTGCACGGTACTAAGAACGGAACCATAACGAGTGGGCATTAACCTCTTAAAAGGATCCCGGGTCCCTCAACATCACCGACCCATACTGGCCAACGTGGTGAAGTATGGTCAATCATTCCCACGATCGACACGGTGCAGCGAGGCCTTCACCGATCGGCGCATTGCCAAGGGGCTGAGCAATTACAATTTGTCATATTTGACGCAATCGCACATGTGGAATCACAATTCTTTTTGAGCATTTCCAATCCACCTGATGTCGTTTTCTGGATCGAACGGATGCAGATAATCGCCCAGCAGATATTCACCGCGGAAAGACGGACCATTTTGCTCAAGAGCCGAGAACCAAAGGTGATTTGCTTTTCTTGAAATTAAAGACTCCACCGCGCTAGGCTACGAACAATTACATGTAAATGCCGAAAGCAAAAGGCACCTCAAAAACAAAAACGCCCGAGAGAAAAATAAAAACAAAAAGCAACCATTTTGCTTGCTTGTCGTCACCATTTCGTGTTTTCCTCCAGGAATCTCCCGTCGACTGAGCGACGCCCGGTCGGCGTGCCGGGAACTGCGTCGGCCGCTCTGGGGGAAACGAAAAAAACCAAAACGAACCGGGGGCGGCCAGACGCGGTGGCACGAGAAAGGGGAAAACTGCTTGGCCGCGGTCCACGTCAGGAGCTCCCTGCCGCCACCGCTCCCGGCCCTCTCTCTGGTCGAGGATTATTCGAATCTTACCGTAGCAAGACCGGCACACTACTCGCGCCGAAGTCCACGGCGGGGGTGGGGGGGGCGCGGAGCGGTTAACGGACGCCCGGTCACCGGTTAACGTACGCCCGGTCTCCGTTAACCGCGGCAAAAATGACGCCGTCGCGGTGGAGGACCTCGTTACGCGGCACGGACGGACGGACCGACGATTGAATTGGAGCAATTGAGAACGCACTCCGAGGCGTTGTTGTTGTTGTTGTGTGAGAGTCGATGAATGCATTGCGTTGTGATGCCACGTGCTGACTTTAAGCGGTTGACGTGTGTTTGATTTGACGTCAAATCTTATTTTGCCATACGAAAGAATATTTGATAGATGTCAATCTTGATTTGAAGCTTCCGTGACTGCAGGAATCCATACTCTTTGGTTCTTTCGGTAAAGTCACGTGGGTAGAAAATACGTGACTTTACCGAAAGAACCAAAGAGTATTTGATAGTTGTGTTTTTATTTCATTTGATTGCAATAGAATACTGTACAACGGACATGCTACCCTTTTAATGTGCAGAAATTTTGCCAGCACTCTGCTAAACGTTATGGTATTCCTGTTTAACCACGAGTAGAACCTCTAGGCTCACAATATATAATTTGTAGATCTGATCGCAGTGAGTGCCGTGTGCCGTCGTTAGGTGGTGCTGGGGGATGAGAAGTGATTCCGTCGAGCGAAACTGCTGCAAGGCAACCCTTGGCTCACGGACAGGATGTGTTGCCAGGCCTTGGCAGTACCATCGCACCCAAGGGTCACATGAACAGACACACACACATTTGAAAAATAAAATACAAACGTTCATTTGAATCGCGAGTGCATGGTGACTCACATGCGTCCACTTGGAGAGAGAAAAAAAACAATCGACAGCACTGCCTTAAAAGATTGTTTTTTTTCAAGTAATCACGTAACGTTTTGGGGCAATGGTCGTTCTTTATGTGCTATGATGGGTTGCTTGTGAAGAAGGGCAATTTGCCCGAAACGTCACCGATTATATATTTGTTATTTTTTTAAGGCAGTGTTGTTGACGAGTGTGTTGACATTCGTTGTTCATCGTGCTTGCGCGCCGCTGCCAATGCAGCCACCAAATGCAATATTATCAAATCGAATACAAACGTTCCGATCGCAAGCGCGGTCTCCAGACCTCCGTTGACGAGCTCACAGCCTCGAAGGAGCAGTAACGATGCCCTGGGCGCGCTCGCCGATCAGCAGCGGCACCCGAACAAATCCAGCGAACTTTTAAACGTTCAAAAATGCAGGTCTCATCTCCCACGACTGTCCTCCGAAAGGTTGCCACGAACTTACGAGGTAGCAATCTCTTCATGCGCGTCGCTCTATGCCCCATGTACCGTTCCCGTTTAGCACGGTTGGCTACGTACCATGCGCAGAAAGAAGTTCAACATACATACAATGGGTACCAATGCCTACTTTATTGAGATAGAGATATTGGGCACGTAAAGACTGACTGACTGATCGATATAAGGAGACGTCGTTTTTCGTGTAACTATCAAGCCAGGTGGCCCAGTGGTTCGAGCGTTTGACTCGCAACCGGCAGGTCGTCAGTGCCTGAACCACGGGGAGGGAGGGGAAGATTTCTTGTGTAGGCGAGTCGTTCTTCTGCGGTCGATATATAACGAGTTTAACACCTCTGCACGGATTCAAAGCTGGTTCTCCTATGAATAGACTGGACCCCGCCATGTGAATGTGTAATGTCCACCGCAGGCCCCCCAGGGGCCACCGATGGAGATGGGTACCGCTTCGCACTCAAGATTTGAGCAAGGGGGGGGGGGGAAGGTTTTGCCTCGACTCCGTTGGTCTCAGTACAGCGCCTCCGCACACAAAACGCAAACGTTGCATTCCAGTATTTCGGCCGTGGGAAACGTGTACGGACAAATGGAACGCCCACTGACGGTGTACTCGGGGAGACGTTTGGGAGTTCTTTCAAAGTGTCCGTTAACCCGTTATCAGTCTGTGGTTATCAAGACTTTTGACTGTTGAGGATACACTTTCGTTCAATACATTCTGACAAACTGCGCTCATTTAAAATGTGTGCCCCCCCCCCCCCCCCCCCCCCACTCCACCACGTGATTGAAACGGTGCGTGAGAATTTACCAGCTGAACGGTCCGAGGCGTGCGGGCGCGCGCACATGCACACACGACGAGCGAAGCAGGAAAGAAGTTGAACAGCACACAGGAATGTACGATTGGAAAAAATAATAATAATTATAAACAGGCTTCAAACAATCGCACGGTCAATCACGAGAGAAAAACTCCAAACTCAAAACGCAGGAAGGAACGTGCAAACGATGTTGTGAAAAGGTCAAAAGGTTACAGCAGTTGTTAGAATGGCATTTGAGTCGCGTGAACTCTTGGAAGTTTTTGTTGTATTTGTCTATTAAAAGTGGCTTCTTTAATCATAATAATGATGGCAACTTGGTGAAATGCGCTCACGAAAACGTGCGAATGCAATGTTGTTTCAGCGCGGCCTACGAAAACGCCACAAAAAAAGGTATAGATTGCGAGTTGACAGGCACAGTGGAAACGTCGTGCCGAACACGACCGTCAAAAGTTAGCTCCAACGTAAATTTGCGAAACTGCATGGGCACGGCCTCGTTTGCACCGCGAGTCTCATTCCATTGTAACTGTCTGCACTACTTACATGTATACAACATGTTAAAGAAAAATTTAAAACCCCAACGTCATTGAAGCTCTGCCCCTTTTCTGTATTTCTTTTATTCACTTTTATTTTCAAAGGCTGACAATGCAACGTATCAAGAACATCCGTGCCACCACGGGTAGCAAATTCCCCCCTCCCCGCCCGCCCGCCCGCCCGCCACCCGCTTGTCACCCCTACGCGAAGGAATGGCACAGCCCGCTGCTGCTGCTGCTGCGGTGCGTTTCAAACGATGGCGGCACAAACCACCGTGACAACGCGCAGGGTTAGAGGTATACAGAGCGCTAAAATGCGTTACGTTGGTACGTCGCAACCGGAGTAGAGTTGTTTTTGAATAGGCGGGACATGTGCCACTTGTGCTCTTCCCCCCGGTGCCAAAACAACGTGCTATTACTGTGTCGAATGCAGTGGGCACAGTGCGTTAAGGCAGCATTGGCCTACATTAATATATAATTTTCACATATAAACCCACCTCAGCAGAGGATTAAGTGTTCGGAAACACTCCGCGCAAGTGTTGCATAAGCACGCGTGCACGTGTCTGTGTGTATACATATTACAGCCGTGATGATGTGCACATAGTTACATCCATTACAATCGTCTTAGCACTCATTAATATTATTACTACTACTACTATCGCTAACAGCCATGAGTCCACACAACCCTCGCTGACAACCCCGTGCCTTGGAAGCGCGATTGTTAAGTGAACCCACAACCCACCCACCCCCCCCCGAAAAACAACTGGCACTCATTGTGCACACCCGGTCGACGATGCTTGGACCTGGTGGTCACGGTGGCGGCTTGGGATATTCCGATTTGGACAAAAACTTTACCGTTAGTTTTAATGTACGACCGGACGGGAACAAAACACAGAAACCAAACTTAAAAAATAAAAAAAAGTACCCATGCTACACACAGGCCAAAGCTACAAACCGAGCCCAGCCCAGTATAGCAACTGCACTTTGTGTCTTGGGCCAACTGGAGCCATCTCACAGGTCGATGTTGGCGAGCGAGAGGCCAGCCCAAGATGGGAAGAGTGATTCTGGAATAGGAATCAGTGCGATTGGCAGAAATCGTTTGAGGTTTCAGAAGTAACACGACTCAATCCTGCGTACTTTGCATCGCACAACTCGCAGGACCGGGTGAGTTCGCCGCACGACACTTTGCTTCCAATAGACTAGAGGGTTCAAAGTAAGGCAACCCGTGATGTGACGCAGGCCGTGTGTGGTGTGATGCGTATGCTGTGGCTGCTGTTATGCTTTCATTCGTCCCAGTTGCTGACCCCCCCCCCCCCACCCCCCCATCATATCCCCCCCCCCCATTCCCCGTTGTAATTGTTATTTTAACACTTACGAATGCAACAAAATGAAAGTAATCACAAGAAGTAGTTTACCGCTACATGCTACCTAACCATGATCTGATTACATACAAAAAAAACACCCAAAGAGTAATAACGCAGGATTACAAATACTTGGCTTTGGCGATCCGATTACATTAACACACGGTTAATTCAAACACGTTAACTCTGCAACGCTGAGAACCAGCCCAGCATAGCCCAAGCCTATAAAAAGCCGTCCCTCGTCCTGCTTAGCGCTGCGTCATCAATTCTAGCCCGGTTTAGCACGGCCAAGCCGGGGGGAAAAAACGCTGAGACACCGCTGGGGCGTCAACACATCACAGCAAGGGGCTACCAAGTTGCTCACTGTGCCTGGCCAGTGCTGAGCTTCACTTGGACTAGCCACCGATAGAAGCGAAGGCTGTACTCGGCCCTGTTTGGTTTGGCTTCAATGAACCTAACCTCAGCGTGACCTGCAGAGTCCTCTGTGGTCTATGTACAAATGCATGGATTTGAGAAAGAATCCGGCATGAGTCTCCCTCAATGAGAGCCGTACAGACAGCTAGACGGTGAGAGTTTGTGAAAGTGACGGATACAGAAATATAGAGACGCACGCGCACAATAAGCATTTAGCCTTTTGGTATTCAGTCAATATGGACAGACAAGCTGATGTGTAGAAAGATTTACAGGCGGACAAGATAAGTGACGAAAGGATGGACAAATTAAAAGGCGGAAAGATGGACGTAAAGAAGACGGAAGAGAATTAAAAATGTACACGCGGATGGATGAATGGTTGGATCGGCAAGCAGACAGGGCAAATATATGGACAGACGGACGGATGGGTGTGCGGGCAGACGGGCAGGGAAGGGACACGGGAGGGCGATGTCGTCGCGTTCAGTACTCGAAGTCGTCGTCGTACTCATACTGGTCGTCGCTGAAGCGCGTGGTTGGGTTGGGAGGGTCGCTCAGGGTTAGTCGCCCGACCTGCTTCCCCAGCAGCGCCTCCTCCAGATCCTCCTCGTACGAGCTGCACAAACAAACCAACAAACTGTTACAAGCTAAAAACTATGCTAAAAGTTTTTTTTCCTTATTTTACCGAGTAAAGCCCCGACTGAGAAATACAGCTCTTTTTCAGAAGCGACCTGGCCACGAATCGGAGTTCAACGAAGTTGGCTCATCACGTGGAAATTTACGGCAGGGAAACACCCGGAGGATCCGGAATAAAAATCCACGCGACCACGGGGAGAGAGACACACACAAACTCCAAATATACAGCAGCAGTCGTCAGGGTCGGTATAGAACGCACGACTTCCTGCATACCACGCGAGGTAGTTAACATCTCTCCACTGCAGCACCCCAACACCACCACCACCACCACCGACAACATCATCATCACCAACAAAGTGACCAGCTAGCTCAGAGGTCAGAGTGTCCAGCTGGCAACGCTGAGGATCTAGGGTTCAAATACAAGAAGAGAACTGTGATTAAATCAGGTTTGTAAGAGTTGTTGGTTGTGGCCCAGTCACCAATGATCTGGACGAAAAAAAACCCCCCATCACATCAAAATTGGTTCTTCACTTAATTTGCACTCTGTTTGGTTAAATTCCAGCTCTGGAGAATGGGATCGTGCTGATCAACCTGGAGTCTCGAGGCTGATGAGTTATTCTCAGGGACGAAACCAATGACTGTACAAAAAACATAACCTCAGCACGTTGCAAATATTAATGCCATCAGAAGTGAAATGATTGGTTTCATCCTCCTGCAACGAACAATATTCTTCATGGCAGAGCAAGCGGGTTGGGAGGGTGCTGCCCCCTAGCGTGTCAATCACAGGTCACTTAGTCGGCATTTCAGAAGAAGTTATATGATATCCTTCAGTGGGCGGTTCTCTGTGGGGGCGGTGGTTAGCGGCCACGGTACAGGTTGACATTATAATTATTCATAATGAAGGTTTGTGGGTTAGATCGCGGAAGTATAAATGTGTTGTAACCCTCCACCACCCGACACAGCCAGTCAAATTTGTCACGTAAACAACGCGCCATTTAATTACTACTTCAGCCCACCGGTGTGTTGGAGAGTAAATTGTAAATGTTGTGGATTTACACTCGGGTTGGAATAAGTAGGAACTAATTAGCACGTTGTTTACGTGACAAACCTTACTGGCTCTGTCGGGTGGTGGAGGGTTACGACACATTCATACTCAGGCGATCTAACCCAAAAACATTTATTATGAATAATATTGGTCGCGAAAGCCTACGTGTTAAACATTATAATTATTGCTGCGTGAGTCTCCGTGTCTCACATGGCCTGCATCCGCTGGTTTGCCGACTCCTCTGCGACCAGGATCTCGTACTCCTCCGCGGCGTAGCGATCCCAGTCCGAGGACTCGGGCACCTCCCCGTCTGCCTCCTATACACACACACGAGACAAAGACAAAGATCCCACCCCCACCGTATAATCTTTAACAGACTGTTGACGCAAGTGCTATTAGCAAGCACATCTGAAGGCCGGCATGGCACACGAGGGGGTGGGTGGCCAGCACCACGCCCGACCGCCTTTGTATCCCCAGTGGCGATGTTTACCTAGGAGAGGGCCAAGGCCCGGTTCATATAGTTGTCACTGATGTTGGCCGTGACCGGGAATCGAACTCAGATCACTGGGTTCGTAGTGCAGTGCACTAACCGCTACCCCTACAAAGATCCCCCGTATAGCCATAAGACACTGTTGGGGCAAGTGCTGTTAGCAAGCACCTATTAACGCCGGCGCGAAGCACGAGGGGGTGGATGAAAACTCTTGTTTCGTCTCAAAGGCGGTCATTAGGTAGTGTAAGCAGGCACCTCGAGAGCGCCGGCTCACGGGTTCCGAATCAGGATCCTTATTTATCCTGGAGGGATCCCATTGAGCAGTGAGGCTCTTTATCATGGATGTGTCCAGTCGGGGCGGGTCAGCGATTTACATCAACAAGCCGTACGATGTAGGCGCGAGATAGAGAGGAGGCAGATGAGCAAGCCGCTCAAACAAAACCGACTACTAAATACAAATAAAGAACGCAAAGTACAAATTGCACATGCGCAGAAATTCTTGCCGATTTGTCAACACCGATGGCAAGCCAAGGAGTGGCAGCAGAACAGCAACATGAAAACAGTCCCCAGGCCACACACAGCAAGCCAACGAGCAGCCCCCTCAATTGCATCGCGATACCTTTTGGACGGAGAAGGGGTCCTTCTGCTCGTGCTCCAGGTACTTCTCGAGGTTGAAGAACGTGTCGAAAAAGACGTACGCCATTCTGCACCGCTTCAGATCCTTCAGCGTGATTTTGCCTGGGGACGGGGGAGCACCGAGACGATAATGAAAACATTTCAACGGGAAAAATTTACAAATCTCCCAAGGTGGCCGAGTAGTTGAGAGGTGGCTGGAGTCATGAGCTGGCACTGCAGAGATGCTGGGTTCGAATCCGGCTTTCAGTCGCCTCTGATCAAACACGATTCCCGAGTCTGGCGAGTTAACAGCCTCATTCAAAGTCACATTGTATTGTTGAACTTGTTTTGCACCGTACGTAGCCAACCGTGATAATCGGAGGTGCGGGGTAAGGACAACAAACTAAACACCAAAAGCAGTTCAGTTGACGAACATTTGTGCTGTCAGAATAAAAAAAAATCAGTTTCACCCTCCTGCGACGACCCATGAGACTCTCGTGGCAGAGCCAGCGGGTGGGAGGGTGCCGTACCCCTTGTCGGCATCTCAGGGGTAGCTCTACGATATCCGCTTCCGTCGGCGGCTGCCCCGGTGAGCGATCCCAACGGAGGCTTCGTCCACGTGACGCGACGGCCCGACGAGCGGTGGGTGCGGTCGGCACGGCAGAAGAGATTCGCGAAAGACAACACGAACCTTCCACCTGGGGCTTGACGAGGTCGAGCATCTGGCAGAGGCAGTCGCTGAGCGGCAGGGGCTCGATGCCGAGCTTGTCCATGCGGGCGCACTGCTCGCCGTAGAAGTGCTCCAGCTCGTACATGGACAGAACGCCGTCGCCGTCCAGGTCCATGCAGCGGAACCAGTACTCCACGCTGGCGCACGGACGCATACAAGCACGCACGCAATCGTGCACACGCGCGCACGAACGCAATAATGTATACGCACGCACGTGCATACGCGTGGACACAACACAGGCAACGGTGCACGAGTATTACTGTTGCTGCTACATTTGTTCAATTCGTTTGACTCGACGCCTCACCTCGTCGCGGTCTTTTTGTCTTCTTCCGAGATGAGAAACCACACAAAGTCGGCGTAGCTCATCCGCTTCTCGCGCTTGGTGGCCGGTCCCCTGCTCACACCGCACCGCACGACACCGCAACGTGCAATAACACACCGCACAACATCACACCGCACCGCACAACACCAAACAACGCCACACCACATCGCTCAACACCGCACCGCACAGCACCACACCGTATCGCACGACACCACAATGCACAACAGCACACTACTCAACATCACACCGCACAGCACCACACCGTATCGCACGACACCACACTGCACAACAGCACACCACACGGCAGCACACCGCATCAAACCACACGCGTTCCTCCCAAGAGGGCTGTCGCTCGCTCGCGCACGCACAAACACCGGCGCTGGAAGGCGATCAATGAGGACTGCGAGCGAATCTCACCGAACACGCAAGATATGGGCCAAGGGAGCGTTGACGCACGACGCTGTGCCAACCAATGGGATTACCGGACCCACGGGTCGCTCGCCGATTGAAATCGAAGCAGCGATTAACCCTCGGTGAACCGATACTCTTAACGTGGCTGTCGGATCGACCGCGACCAGAACCAATCCAAGCAGGCACCACGGCTCGGGTTCCACGAGACCAAATATGGGCAGGGGGACGCGCCCCCTCCGGGCAACGCCACGCCCACTTTCTCCCAAACATGGGCCGATGGGGCGATTTCGTCGGGGTGTGCCGATTTATTGGCGTCACGGCGCCGCCTCGTTCTGCGCAAACGCCGGACGACACGGCTTTCCGCCGACGCGGGCGCCGTCTTTCCGCCGCGCTCCGCGAGCCATCAGGCACTGGTGTACCTCGTGACAGCTCCGGAGAATATCCTGTCGATCATCCGGCTTGAGATCGCTGCGGCGACAGGAAAACATCGACGGCAGTGACTTTGCTGCCCAACCGCAGACGGTTGTAATCCGGCGCTTTTGGGGAGAATGTTTGTAGGATCACACGGATTTGTGGGCGGGTGGTGGCAGTACAGTAGGTGGGTTCGTGTTGCCGTCTGTGCGGAGCCTCTAGTGGTGTCCACCAAGAACATTTGGCGAGTGTTCTCCAGGTACTCACCACAGTGGCACGATGTTAACTACCTCGCTTGGTATGCAGCAGGTCGTGGGTAAGATCACGACCCTGACGCCTGCTGTATGTTTGGAGTTTGTGTGTCTCCCTCCCCGTGGTCGAGTGGATTCTTCTCCGGGTGCTCCGGTTTTTTCCTTCCACGTTTATAAACACGCGTTTAGAGTATTTGGCTGCTATAAATTTCCACGTGATAAGCCACTTTGTTGGGCTATTTATCTGTGGCCAGGTCACTCTGAAAAAGTGCGTCAGGGTTTAGGGTTATGGCTAAGATTAATTGTCAAGGTTAAAGTTATCATTTGAAAGCTATGATTGAGCTTAAAACTACATTCAGGAACAGGGTTAAGATTATGCTTTGGGGTAGTGTCAGGATCAGCATGAGACTCGGGTTTCGGGTCGTAGAAAGTGGGCAGGGCTGTTTGTATTGTAAGTGTGTACGTTGAACTTCTTCCGCACCGTACGTAGCCAACCGTGCTAGTCGGACGTGCAGGGGAAGGGCAACAACGCGCTAGCGCTCGAGTTGAAGCGTTGGTTCGAGGCGTACCGTGGTCGTTGTGCTTTTCCAGGTCCTTGCGGTCAATGTAGAGGTCGTGGTCCGTGTCCAGCTCCCAGAACTTGCAGTAGATGACGTAGAAGTGCTCGTAGGAGAAGTAGTCGGTGATTTGGTTGATGTCCTCCTCCTCCTCGAGTAGCGCCAGCGTCTGAACCCATTCAAGTCACCAATAACAGCGACCGTCATCGTCATCGTAATCATCGATAATAAAAAAAATATTCGTCGTCATCGTCTGTACGATGAAAAACTAAATATCTTCGACGCGGTGTTGCTGTTGTTTGAAATGTAGACGCGCCGTCCGAAATTTGCTCGCTCGAATCTCAAATCTCAGTCGGGTGTCATATTGCCCAACGTCGGCACTCACGTTAAATTCCGTCTCCCTTCGTGGGAAAGCCACGGCGGTTCTTCTGACTACTTGAATCAGGGAACATTATACGAACTGCCCAACTGAGTAAATCTCAGCGACGGTTAACCTGGGATTATGCTCCACTTTGAACTCTGTCCAACGTTGTGCGGAAGCCGACGGTGGTTATTGTAAATATTTAAACGTGAAAAGAAAAAACAAAAACATCGAATGATTGTGTGATTTCGTGAAGGGAAGGTGCCCAAACAACCAAAGGGGAGGAGAAGAGCTAAGAGCAAGATGGTGCCCCCCCTCACACCTTCCCCTTCTCCTCCCCCCTGTCCCTGTCTTTCTCCCAGCGTGTTCCTCACCTTCCCATCCCCCTTACCCTTTTCCCCTCCCCATATCCACTCTCACGTCCCTGATCGTGGTCTCAGGAACCACACGTCGGTCTCTTAACAGCGATGTTCTCATGCGAATAAGAGATATTGCATTCCTTAACTTTGGCATGGACAACTGTGCACCGAGTGTGACGGTTGTCAATCAATCAATCGATGCAAGATTCGGCAACAAAAAAGCAGCTGAGAATGAATGCGCAGCTCACCTGCAGGAAGTTGCTTTTCCGTAGCTCGGTCAGCGAAATCCGTCCCGACCACGAGCGATTCACAGTGTAAAACACTCTCTGGATCACCTGTGGGCGCGGGTGGTCGGATAAAGAATTGAAACACATTCTCCTGCGGAGGGAGCTGGTAGGAACGTTGGGTTGCTCGGTCAATGGCCAGGGTCAACGGTGGCACCACGTGGTGTACTCCGCACATATGCCCGACTGTGAGGGCGGGCACAAGCTGGCGTGAGTAGGTTAAACGGTGAGTTTTATAAGGGCACCACGGGGTGACCAGCCCGTCCCCACCCAGCCCCACCCCTCCCACCCCCCACCTCCCCACCCAGCCCCTCCCCTCCCCACCCAGCCCCTCCCTACCCAGCCCCTCCCCACCCTCCCCTCTCCACCCAGCCCCACCCCTCCCATTTTTGGATGCACGACGGACGGACGGACACAATAATCCCCTGTGGGCTGGTGTAACCAGGAGGTTCCTACCAGCATTAAGCAAGGCCCTTGAATGCTGCAGCATCTGATAGCGCCCTTCAACGCACGAACCGGCGAAAATACCCGGGGCATGCTTGAAAATAAACACGAATGCATAAGGAGGAAAACGTAGAATGCAAATTGGAGACACCATACTGACTGCTAAGAAAAGTAGGGACAAGTCGCGATAGAAGGAATGCTGGCAGCTGGTCTTAGACTAACGACGGAGTGGCAGGCCAAGGAGGTAACTCACCCGGGGAGGAGGTCCACCGCGGGAACGCGGTGCGAATAAATCAACGAGACGGACCCTTTGTGTCATAGGACCGTGAGCGGACTCGCGGTGACATGAGAGGAGGCCTCTATACAGCTGCGAACAGATCGTGGTTGATGACGACGAGCAAGCCAGCGTGCGCACGTAGAACCTCTAGTGGCTGCCGGGTGTTTACCTCGCCTGGTATACAGGGGTCGTGGGTTCAATCTCTACCCTGACGCCTGTATATTTGGAGTTTGCATGTTCTCTCTCCCTGTGGTCGTGTGGATTTTTCTCCGGCTCCTCCGGTTTTTCCCTCCATATTTAGAAACATGCATTTAAGAGGATTTGTCCGACATACATTTCCACGTGATAAGCCACTTCGTTGACCTATCATTTGTGGCCAGGTCGCTTCCGAAAAAAGAGCTGTATAGCTCAGTGGACCTTACTTGGTGAAATGAAAAAAAGTTGATGGTTTAGTTAAGGCAAACCAATCGCGTTCGCCAAGCGCTAAATCCAACAGGAAAGAGTCTCGCATGCACGACTCGACACTGGCAGCGTGCGCGCAGGAGATACGGCTGGCTGGCTGGCTGGCTGACGAAACTAAAAGTCAGCTGCGTCGCAAGGGCAACGGGAACGGTGATCCCAGCGTCACCGCCACGGCTTCGTGGTGGAACAAGGCTTACGGGCGGCAACGCGCGCCCGGGATTTGAGGAGATCGACGCGGGGGCGGCAGCTGCGTGGTTATTATTAACGCCGCTTTTGGCCGCTCCCGAGACCGAGCCGCCGCCGATGCTTCGTTTCCCGGTAATGTCACCCCCGCGACACGGCATGAGCGTGCCGCTGGCCGCTGGCCACAGGCCGAGTCAATGGGCTAACGCCGGGCGCCTCCAAGCCCTTACAAGCCAACCGGCAAACCGCTGACGTAGGGTCAGGGTACATTCTCCCACCAACCACCCCGCCGCCCCCGCCGCCACCATAGGAATGAGGAATTTCCACCGCTGGCGAAAAGAGGATGAGCGCTGCGCCATGCTTGTTTGAGCAGAGAAAACCGCGGTGCCGTTTTAAAAGTACATTTTAATAAATAGGATTAGGTGATGTTGCAGGGCAAGTGTACATCGCAGCATTGTGGGCATATGCTATACGGCAGCGGGGCATTCAATGGTTGAGGCACAGAGTAGGGTGCAGGCTCTGGGATCGCTTTACCGTTGTGATGTACCGCGAGTGGAATTCCGGTGCCTCCTTCAAAAATGTGAGCCCAGGGTGACTGTCCACGATGTCCTAGGCATTGGGACGTAAACGGGAGAGGACAACCACATCAACGATTATGAATATATTGCGATTCACAATTACAATAATGCATTTGTACACCTGGTGCTGCTGGCAAATGATTGTGTTTCAGGAGCGTCCTACCAAAGTTGTCGCAGCGGGGGGCAACGCTAGTCACTCCTGGGCGTAATCCTAATTTGGGTCATTTGCAGGAATATATTCAGCAGTGGGATGTTTTGGCCAACACCAGCCTGTTGTATTGTGTGTTACTTGTTATGCTATGGGAAGAAACCGGAGAACGTGGGAGGAAACTCACGCCGAACAAGGGGAGAACATACAGACTCCACACAGAGATGGCGATTTAAACGGGGGTTCTCAATCCCAGTGAGCTGATGGTCTCAACCCAATCACCAATGGTCATACAAAAAAAAAGTGTTACATTTGCTGATGTTGTAACCACGCACATTCCAGCTGCCGAAATTAACACAACTCTAGGTTATCACTTCATTAACCCTCTTAACAGGGAAAATTATTCGAGCTGGGTTCTCCGTTAATTTAAGTATATCGATTATTCAACTAATCGGATATAATACAATTGCAATCTTGATTTGAAGCTTGCTAATCTCCCTAATATATCTGCCTAATCTCTCCCATCAACATAGCGATAATCTCCCATTAACACTACTGCTGTGCGCATATACGGCGACAGTACTCTTACACGGCGACGGAAGCTCATTTACTTTGGCATATTCTTGGTTCTTTCGGTAAAGTCACGTAGAAGGGAAACAATAAAAACAATAAAATAATAAAAATATATTTGTATTATTTTATTGTTTCCCTTCTACGTGACTTTACCGAAAGAACCAAGAATATGAATCCCTGCAGTTACGAAAGCTTTAAATCAAATCAAAATTTACTTTGGCATGCTAATCTCTCTCTCCCTAATATCTCTCTCTCCCTAATCTCCCCCATTAACACAACTGATGTGCTTGCGTGCGGGGATGGGACTCCTTTCCAGCTCGGACCCCGCCTACTTGCCGTTGGCCAACATCTATAACCTCTTGTTGTAGCAGCTCTCTCCCTGTGTTCTTCCAGGTTCAGCGGTTCTACTGCTGGATTATTTTTTTTCTGCCTGAGGACGATTGCTTGTGTTACGATCGAAACGTCGTGATACATTATTATTTTTTCTACCTACGTGACTTTACCGAAAGAACCAAAGAGTATGAATACAATTGCAGTTGGGGGGGGGAGGGATGTCGTAAAAAATTTCGTTGCCTCCGTTTCCACGCGTGACGCTGGATGCGAGGCGGTTGGCTGGGCCTGATGACCTCATCACCATCATCAGCCGCGTCACGTAGGGCGTGGCTTGTTGGGGGTTTCCTGGCTTCAGGAGGCAGAATGTGGGGCGGGCGGCCGCCGTTTTCTCATAAGGGGTCGAAGGACCGAAATTTAAAAACGTCGATTGCAATCTCGAGTTGATAAATCAACTCATCATCCCGGCTCTACCCTAAGTGCACCCCCGAGTGTGGCCAATTCAAGTAATTCGTTTATTTTGTTTTTTCGCTCGTCTGATAGTGCACGGCTATCACGAAGGCGCTCTGTTTCACGTAGCCCGTAGAAGTTTGGCGACAGCGGGTGACGTTGCTATGTGTAATCCCAGTTGAGAATATCGCGATTACATTTTAAAATTCGCGCAGCCTTTTGATGCGATATTTCATTTCCCGAACGCGATCTGAGGGTTGCATTTGCTCACTGTGAGAGTTTCCGAATGGACATTTCCATCGGCTCGTGACAACATTGCAATGCCCCTCGGAACAAATTGTGATCAAAACTGCGAATATATTCAGTCAAAAAATAAGTGGGCCCGTGTGTGGTGTCTTTGTTTGTCTTGCTGGTGCATTTTCGCGTTGCGTGCACGCACGTTGAACTTCCTTCACACCATACTTTGCTAACCGTGCTAAATGGGAGGCTTTTATTTATATTTTATGGTAATGATTTGTTTCGGGGTCGTACTTAGCCCCGTCTGAAACTGAGTCGCGCGAGAAACTTGTTTCGGTTTGGTGCCCACAGCTCCTCCCTTGCCCCCCTTCCGGCTATGCCACGGGCAGCGTCGGCTCACACCGCGGAGTAAATGCGACCGCCGTATTTTTAGCGCTGCGTGATTTATTTCGAGGCTTGCCCTCTTTGGGCTGGAGGCATTCTCTTCTGCTGCGTGGTATTAAACGTTTCAAAAAATAAACTTACGTAAGTCTATGTTTTTTTTTTCAATGTGTATCACCGATAGCGCTTGTTGCGTCTATCAGAGTTACGATACCATGTACGGTAAAGGAAGATGAAACCGCGGAATTACCCGCGTTGTCACATCCAGTAAGCCTCTCTCTCGTCCTTTCTATGTTGTCTGAAACATAGAGGTTTGTTGAATTTCTGTCATCCAGTGCATTTATAACTTGTGTTCTTCAGAGCTGCAGGAGGCATGTTTTCAAATGTGTATTCGTGCACTCATCGATGACTAAGATGGGCCCAACAAACGTGCTATACAGTTGAGAACCTGAACCTGATTTAATCACAGATAATATTGCTTTCGCAACCAATAATATCCATAAGAGGTTCCTGGGTTAGATCACATAAATACAAATGTGTCATTAAACCCGCCACCCCCCGACACAGCCAATTAGTAAGGTTTGTCACGTAAACAAAACATTCCAATTCGTTACGAGTACAGCACACCGGTGCGTTGGAGAGTAAACCCAAAACATTTACACTTCGAGGACTACGTTTCGCCAGTAATTACAACTAGCATCATCAGGCGACAGCCAGAATTGTGGAGAAATCCCCCTGTTTCGGTCTTAAATAGACAGACAGTTGCCTGAATGTGACATGGCCATTGATGCCCCTCTGCGGTGTGCTACGAGGACACAAGTGCGTACTTTCTTTTGCATCTAAATCATTTAATCGTAGATTTTTAAAGGAGTCTGTCTGGGTGGCGCTGCGATAAAAAAGCACCCGACCCACAAATCAGGAAGCTCCCGATTTCAAATCGCAAATCGCAAATCGTCCGCCGACTCATCGGCCCGCGCTTTGCGATAAGTCGACGGCGCTCGTCCAAATGAAGAGACCATTTGCTCGCTGTGAAAATGTGGAGTTTCCACCACCGGCTAAGGGTCAGCGAAAGAGACCCCAGTGCTCATTCGAGCAAAGAGACATCCTCGCATTCGGTCCGTATGCGGCACATGAACCGCTCCGTTCTGCCTTCCACTGGAAAAGTTAAATGTACTGCATGTTGAACTTCTTTCGCACCGTATGTAGCCAACGGTGCTCATCGGAGGTGCGGGAAAACTGCCCGTGCATTTTATTATCCGCTCTACGAAGCGTGAGAAGACGTTGCGAGCTGGCGACAGCTGCTAAAAACGAATGCGGGGGTGGCTCTTTAACCATTCTATTTCGGACGTCTGTTCTTGAGAGAGAGAGAAAGCGAGAGAGAGAGAGCGAGAGAGATACGCAAGGCATGGTGATGGCGAGCCGGCAAGCCGGCAGGGAGCGGGGCGAGGTGGGAGGGTGGGCCGGCACGCCACAATCGGCGCTTGACTAAGCGGCCCGGGGTAGGGCCCCGATGTAACGCGACCTCTCGGCTGACACTGGGGCTGTTATCGCCGCCACCGCCACCGCAGCCGCGACTGTCCGGCGTTTAGAAATCAACGGTTGCGTAACAACGGGGCTTCGTGTAGACGAACCGGCGAGTGGACAGAATTGCACCGCTCATGGTATTGCGATCGTTTTGTTATTTAAACGGATCGAAAACGGCAAGTTTATTTATTTTTTGGTTAAAAGGAAGACTTATCCCAAACTGACAAACACAGCTCTTGCAGATGCATATGTACGACGGTGTTTATCTTGGCTGGCCACCGCTGGTTTCAAGATACATTCACGAGAAAGATAACATGACGGCCAATCATAGTGTTCTGGTGATAACAGGGCACTGGAGTAGAATTAAATTCCAATGGAGTGATTTTACATCTGGGTCACCAGTGCCATAATCGTGCACTTGATGTATGTGTGTTTAACTTCTTTCACACTGCAAGTAGCCAGATATTCGATGGTGGGGGTACTTTTCTTAAAGTAGCTTTAAATGACTATGGTTGACTGAATTTAGTGGCATGTGGTTTCTTATGTTTCATTCATCAAGTTAAAGCATCACTTGTGAATAATGTCGAGCGAGTGAGTGATGGAAATTCCATATTCTACTGACAGTGGCCACTTTTTCCATAGGACAACCACTTTTGACTTAATACAAATTACATTTTATCATGCTCCTTAGCAGCATATAAATAATTCCAGATCATTTACATCTCATGCTTCCCAATGAGATATTGTTATCTCAAAATAACTCAAACAGAAAGGTAGATGGGGAGAAGTGATTCCGCAGCAGTTAGTACATTGCGCTACGGAACTGGCGACCTGGGTTAAATTTCCAGCTATGGCTGACATCAGTGGCAAGTAATATCTGGGCCACAATTTACCAATCCACAAAGACCAGTTTGGCGAAGTATGACTAAGCAACCACGCTGACCGACTCCACGTGGGGAGGCCTTCATTCTACTGAGGATTGACAAAGGGCTGCCTGTCTGTCTGTAGAGCAGGGCGGAGTAGCAGATGGTTGTAATCTAGTGCTTTGGAGAGAATGTTTGTAGGATCACACCGATCTGTGGGCGCAGGAGATGGTTGTACAGAAAGTGGGTTCATGTTCCCATCTGTGCAGAGCCTCCAGTGGTTTTATCCAGGTATTCGCCACATTGGCGAGATGTTAACTACCTCGCCTGGTATACAGGAGGTTGTGGGTTCGATTCTGACCTTCACGCCTGTATACTTGGAGTTTGCATGATCTCCCCGTGGGCGTGTGAATTTTTCTCCGGGTCCTCTGTTTTTTTCCTCCACATTTTGAATCAACATCATGCATTTCGAGTATTTGGCTGCTCTAAATTTTAACGTAACAAGCCTCTTCATTGGCCTATCACTCGTGGCCACGTCGCTTCTGAAAAAGAGCCATACACCTCAGTTGGGGGCCTTACCTGATAAAAAAACATATCGTTAGTAGTTAAACTCAGGTTTTCTTTCCACACGACTCAAAAACACTACTTTAAAAAAAATAACAGACCAATCAATGGGAATCAAAACCAATTGACCTTCAGTATCAGGCCCTCATCATCCCCACCATGCAGTAGGGCTAAACAACAGCACTCGTAGGGAACCGGCGTTACTAAGCCACGCTCGTCTGACTAGCAGCGCCAATGACAGCGGAAGGATAAACTTACGCATCAGCGCAGCCCTCATCGCTGGAGTGAGGCGGCTTTGAAGCCCAAATTTAGCGCTCGGCCCGCAACCTTCAACGGAGCCGGGCAGAGGAGAACGAGCCGCAGAAACACTCGGCAAGCGAGGAGGCGCGGCGCGCGCCGTTCCCGTCCGCGTGGGCTGACAAAAGGGGTCACGGCGAATTTAATCTTGCGCTTGGAAGAGGTTGGGAATCTCTCTCCTCTCTCGCTCCCGGGTGCTGAAACGGCTGCTATCTCAAAAAACACCAGTCTATCAGGTCGCTTCGGGAAGCTGGAGTCACCAGGTTGTTAGAACGGTGGTTATAAACGCCCGCAAGGTTGCACATTCGATTTCCCAGTTGGGGGAGGGTTGGGATCGGTCTATCGTCCCTCCTGGGCAGCGGGGCCTTCCTCAATCCCAGTCCCTCAAAACCCTCCAAAAGAAAATCTTTCCCAAGTTCACCAATGTAAAGTGTCGCTGGTAAGCCAGGTGAGATGGGTTGTGGGGCCTTCGAGGGCCTCTGTAACGACGGTCTGTGTCGGGGAACCCTGCTGCTGCTGCTGCTAACGTACAGCGGGAATGACGACGTTCCGGGCGGTGCGGGCTACCACGGAGAAATGTCGCCGAGGGCAGCGACAGTCATGCGCCTCTGTTTAAACTCACACCAAGCGGTCACGAGCTGCACACGCCTGCTGATCGTGACGCTCGTTCCGCGTGACCTAGAGAGGACCGGTCACGTTCGAATTCCAATGGAGATGCGCGTGTGCGCGCGTGTGCTTACACGCAATTAAGAAGCGCTCTCTACGATTCACGATTGACTGTTCGGTCAGACCACACGAGCAAGATGTGTGTCGTACACCCTCCTCCACCCGACACGGCCAATTAATGAAGCTGTCACAATTAGCAACTGCCTGATGATGCTTAGTTGTAACTACAAGCGAAATGTCGTAGCAAAGTCCTGTGTTCGCCACGGTGGTGAGATGTTAACTACCTCGCCTGGTAGGCAGGAATCCGCGGGTTCAAACCCGACCTTGACGCCTGTATATTTGGAGTTTATATGTTCTCCTCGTGGTCACGTGGATTTTTTTCCGGTTCCTCCGGTTTTTCCCCTCCACGTTTAGAATCAAAGTCATGCGTTTAGAGCATTTGGCGGCGATACATTTCCACGTGATAAGCCATTTCATTGAGTTATCATTTGTGATGGCCAGGTCGCTTCTGAAACAGCTACACAGTTCAGTGGACCTTAACCTGGTCAAATAAAAAAAAATGTGTTAATAGTTTTAGTTTGGGTTGTAACTCAAGAGACGAGGGCCACCCTTGCCGTGGTCATCGGAGATGCACGTCACCCGCTCGAGCGGCGACGCTCCGGGCCAAATTCGATGACCGAAAAACATCCTCACTTGGCGGCTTGTGGCATTGTTGCTGTGCGAGATACCGTAAGATTTATTGGATAATTTATTGGGAATAAAATGATCATTTTCCCGCAGGATAATTGGGTTCCGTTAACTTTCGTGCCGCGTGTAATCGACAAGGAAATGGAATGCGCCCGCAAGAACGTCCACTGGGGAGACGGAGCGTGCGCGAGATTAAATGGACTGCTACATTGCAGGATCGCGACAGGTGGCGGCGGCGGCTTGGGTTGGGTTGGCCTTCATCCAGCAGTGGAATGGCCATGGCTGATGAGGATGATGATAATTTACAGATCCATTCATACACTAACGCTGCAAGCACAATCACTTAAATGTCTTCAAAGCCCTCTGTAAATCCACTGCTGGATGAGTGTAACATTTGCATTTGTAACAATTTAATTTTGTTGCTCATGGAAACCTCGCTGAAGTCTCAAGCTTATTTTGAGGAGCGAACTCCTTGGGATGTTTGGACAATTGCAAAATTGGTTAAGTTTACTGTGTGGAAGTTAACCCGAGCGCCTGGACAAACAGCATGCTAGTGTGTTTCTCAAGCGCACATACAATCTATAAATGTATATAGGAACACACAAAGTAAAGTAAATATGTACAAGAACACGTTATTCGAGAATAAAATTTGCATTCACAAGAATGTGAACTGTGTAACGGATAAGATATAGTAATTTTAAGCAATGGTCTTTATTTAGCTTTATGAGCACTCACTGAGACTCATCATAATAATAATAAAATTATAATTTGCATCCCCCCCCCCTACCAATCCACTTCTGGAACGTCTCCAGCTGTCCCCACATTGTAATGGTTATGGGGGCTGCTTGACCATACTTCACCATACTGGTCAGTGTGAGGTGGTAAAGGTGGGTGGGTGGCTGGGTTAGTGCGGGGTGGGTTGGGTGGGTCACGTGGGTGGGTTGGGTGGGTGGGTTAGTGGGGGGGGGGTTAGCGGGGGGGGGGTTAGTGGAGGGTTGGTTAATGGGGGGTGGGTTAGTGGGGGGGGGGTTAGTGGGGGGGGGATTAGTGGGGGGTGGGCTTGGTGGGTGGGTTAGTGGTCGGTGGGTTAGTAGGGGGTGGCTTAGTGGGGGGGGATTAGTGGAGGGGTGGGTTAGTGGGGGGTGGGTTAGTGGGGGGTGGGTTAGTGGGGGGTGGGTTAGTGGGGGGTGGGTTGGTGGGGGGTGGGTTAGTGGGGGGTGGGTTAGTGGGGGGTGGCTTAGTAGGGTGGTTAGTGGGGGTGGGTTAGTGGGGGGGGGGGGTTAGTGGAGGGGTGGGTTAGGGGGGATTAGTGGAAGGGTGGGTTAGTGGGGGGGGGTGGGTTGGGTGGGCTGGGTGGGCTGGATGGTTGGGTGGGTGGGTTAGTGGGGGGTGGGTTAGTGGGGTGGGTAAGTGGGAGAGTGAGTTAGTGGGGGGTGGCTTAGTGGGGGGGGGGATTAGTGGGGGGGGGGATTAGTGGGGGTGGGTTAGTGGGGGGGTTAGTGGAGGGGTGGGTTGGGTGAACTGGGTAGTTGGGTGGGTTAGTGGGGGGGGGGGGTTAGTGGAGGGGTGGGTTAGTGGGGAGGTGGGTTGGGTGGGTTGGGTGGTGGGGTGGGTAGGCTGGGTTAGTGGGGGGGGGGGGTGGGCTGGGTGGGTGGGTTGTCAAAGAGAGGTTCACGTTAGCCGCAGCCAAAAATCAAACTCGGCCCACCAGGCTCAAAGCGCTGAAAGTTGCTCTGACAACACCGATTCTAGAGATGCTGAAACGAATGAAACGAGATGGCACAAACGATGACGCCGATGGTGGACGACCACGCCGACGAGGACGAACACATACCAATCATGCCGATACCGACACTGATACTAACGACGAGAATACTTTCCACCACCGATACTGACGACACTCACACGTCGTATTGCGCTTTGTATTGCGACGTGGCAAGTATGTACAGAGGATATTCCTGCCACGTCCCGTCAACTTCACGAAACATTTCCCACTTGTTGGCTGCTGCTGCAGAACTGGTTCAGAATTGGTGACAACTCGCAGACAGTGACCGGCAGTGAGCTCCACATAGACGGGCCAGACATTGCAAGGGTGTGCGAAAGGGTGAGTGGGGTTGGGTGGGTGGGTGAGCGAATCAGCGAGTGGCTGAGTGAGTGGATGAGCGAGTGGGTGAGTGTATGTATGTATTTTTAACTTCTTTCGCACCATACTTAGCCAACCGTGTTAATCGGAGGTGCGGGTCAGTGAAATAATTCATGGGACCGTGAGTGAGTGGAAGAGTGAGTGGGTCAATGGATGAATGAGTGACTGTGCGGTTGAGTAGATGGGGAAGTACACCGCAATATCTTTGCGGGGGGGGGGGGCTGATATCAACTTCTCGGTGCGTCGGACAAATCAGGTCGCCGTGCATTACCAACTGGAGTTAACAACGGATGCCAAACGCGACCGGAACAATAATTCCGAATCGTCTTCGCTGCTCTTCGTCAAACAGACCAAGAACACGGACCGCTCGTTCCTCCTCACCTGCAGCAAGGGGATGAAGTCCTCCTGCACCAGGTAACTGCAGCCGGGACGCGCGAGCAGAGCGACAAACTTGGCCGAGTCGTCGTGGCAAGTTCGCAAGAGCCTGCGGCACCGCGGGGAGTGGGTGGCACGCCGGCGAGATCATCATCACAATCACAACGAGGGGCTGTCAAAACCATCACGGTCGTCATCGTCGACACAATAATCAACGTCACCGTTGCCGGGCACCGTTCGTTTTGTTAAAAGTACAATTTTACAAAAATGTATAGTCCAGGAAAGCCGTAGTGGGTCTCAATACTTGTGTATTCGTGAGTATCAAATGGGCATTACGACAGCGGTTGGCTACATTGGTGGCCGTTGAGCAGGTGGCGTAAATTCCATATTCCTATGGAGAGGACTGGTCGCACACAAAGACAAAGGTCCCCCTGTATAGCCTGGAACAGACTTTTGGGGCAAGTGCTGTTAGCAAGTACCTATGAAGGCCGGCACAGCACACAAAGGGGTGGGTGGCCAACACCACGCCCGGCCACCTTTGTCTCTCCAGTGGCAATGTTTATACATCACACCAGGTATTCATTTTAGGCGGAGTCGACCTAGGGGAGGCCCAGGACAGGTTCAAATAATCGAGACTGGTGTTGGCTGTGAGCGGGCATCGCAGTCGGTTCGCCGGGTTCGTAGCGCAACACGCTAACTGCTACACCACCGCTCCCCACATGGTGAGGGACCGGTCACACAAACAGAGACACACCCCCATACACATACTCACTTTCTCCACATGGCCACAAAGGTGTGCACGGACACGAAACCCGTTCGCTCCCCGCTCGCCGCATGGAACAGCGCCGACTTCCAGTAAACAGGGCAGCCACAGGCCTGCGCGAACAGAAAAGCAAGCGGGATTGCGTCCGGTGGTCGAGACTCGCAACAGAGTAGGGGCACAACGGAGGGAAAACGCCTGAGAGGACGTCCACGATGTTCGTAAAAACTCTGATCTCGCTGGCAAAGAGCAAGTCTGAACATTTGCTGTAACGCACTCTCAAAAGTTCAGTTCATCACGGATTGCACAGAGTAAGCTCTTTGGAACAACAACACTGTTTTAAGTCTGTTGGAAAACTGGCTCAGACTCAAGGATGGATACGGAAAATGTGGCGGCAACGGGCTCCAGGTCTTCGGGCCGGAAACTCGGGTAAAATGGCACTGGCCATATGGCATGGAGAAATGTGATACCAGTTCATGTGCAGGAGTAAGCTTAGAGCACGATTATTTAAACTATACCTTCTGACGAGCCACTCAACGAAATTAGCGTGTGCTGGCGGACCACGTGATGTCATTTTCCACGTGCGCAGACGCTGGGCACCACAGTGGCGAGATGTTACCTCCCTCGCCTGGTATACAGGAGGTCGTGGGTTTGATCCCGACCCTGACGCCTGCTGCGGTATATTTGGAATTTGCGTGCCTCTCTCTCCCTGTGGTGGCATGGATTTTCCTCCGGGTCCTCCGGTTTTCCCCTCCACATTTCAAAACAACGTCCGTTTAGAGTATTTGGCTGCCATAAATTTCCACATGCTAAGCCTCTTCATTGAGCTATAATTTGCGAGGTCAATTCTGAAAATAGCTCAGTGGGTCTTACCAGGTAAAATAAAAAATTGTGAATAATTCAGTTTAGTTTAACATCGCCCCGTCACGTTGCAGGGCCTGCGCGTGCCACCACCGATCCGCACTTGTCTCCAGGTTTCTCATCTCTATCTCTTCTTTATCTCTCTTTTGTCTCACTAAGCCGAATGTTTTTTTACGTCTTGGCAAACATTACTTTTCGATGGGCCAAAGCTCGGTCGGCCACTCCACGTGCCTTCGTGGGCTACATCCGTCTGTGGCGGGCAGCTAAAGAGCCCTGGCTTAGGCCATCAATTCCAGGGCAAGCATCCAAAGTGGTTGGATGCAAAAATGGACGTGGAGCGTTTCCCATCTCGCTGGGCCAATGGTGAAGTTTCCATATTCCTACGACGGGGGCGATTAAATCGGCAGGCGAACCAAAGCTTGACTTACCACAATGAAATCAATGTATTTGGTGACACTTCATTGGCAGGCGTGCACAAGCACAATTACAAAAACAAAACTCAACACATTCAACCAACAACAAATCTCACATTCATCAATAACAATGCCGTAAAAAGAAAATAAAAAAGTAGGCAACGTTTTGCGCAAATAGCCCTTCTTCATAGCACTTTCCAGAAATGGGTACTCATTTAATTTACGAAACAGCTTCTCGGCAGAGATGGAGCGATGATACCAGTTTCATGTGCAGGCATGAGACGGACGATCCCATGGCAGGATTGCACGCGATGGCGAATGAGTGGGGAGGCCTTCGTTCAGCGGTAGCTGGACAACCGGTGGCGAACCTACCGAGCAGAGCGATGCCATCCGCCCCGTGTGTATCGTCCCGGAACCGACGCTCAGCCGGTGTCGGACCGACTGCCGTGTGCGAGATACACTCGGCTTTGGCAGAACGGAGCCGTTCATCTGCAGCCCCCGTGACCTGGTGCGGTCTTTGTCGACTGAAGCCCGCTCAGCCGTGACTATAGACGAAAAACATTTATTTTCCACTTCTGTTCAGTTTAATTCAGTTAAAAATGTTCTCCGTGCCATCCGCGTCTAAGCGTTTTGCCGAACATGGCGCGAGTTGCAAATCGTGGGTTGATTGATCGATGAAGATAAAAATAGGAATCATCTACATGCCGAAGATCACCCCCCACTGCGAAAACTTGGCAGTGACCTTCCGACAAACGGTCATGATGACTTAGCGAGGCTCTCCTGGGTAAACAGGCGAACTAATACAATTAATAATGGTCTTAAAATGGATGCTGTTGTTGCTGATGTTGCTTCAGTTGTTATTAATGATGTTAATAACGATGCTGTTGCTAACAAAGCTGCTGCTAAAAAAACTCTGCTCATGATGTCGCGACAGGCATTCATGACAATGATCCTGCTGATGATATTACAAAATGGCTGCTGATGTCGATTTTGCTGATGCCAATGATGGTGATGTTGTCGATAATAATGACTTTAAAACGACCTATGCTCATCGGAATGCACACAAACCCGAGAGATCTCGGAAGCTAAGCAGCGTTGAGACCAGACAGTGCCTGAATGGGCGCCCACCATGCACAGCAGGTTGCTGTAGGCTACTGCGGAGCGGTGCGATGGTCAGCAGCGGGCAGTGCGGCTAAATCAATCGTTGATATTTTATATGCTCCCCGCCTTCACCAACCCCGGACACACACACACACGCGCACACGCGCACAGACCGGATCGTAAGACGTACCTCCCCCCCTGACGTTTACTTGGCGACGTACGGCGCGAAAGAAGTCCAACATACGCACAGACGCACACAGGTCACAGTTAAGGAGCCCACGCACCTTGGCCACGGTGGCCATCTGATGAATGTCGGCGCGCTCGTCCGGGTAAGGCGTGAACGACTCCTCCACCCGCTCGATCATCTGGTCCGACGTGGGGCCGGTGGGCGCCGGGCGGCCGTGCGGGAAGTAGAAGCGCGGCACGAGCGAGTGAGCCGGCGCCACCTGCGGCTTGGGCAGTGCCGGAGGCAGCGACTTCTTGTCCTTGACGCCGGCGGCTGTGCTGCTTGCGGGCGCGACCTGGAGATCACGGTGCGGCGGGGTGGCGAGGAGGGAAGGCGGGGGTGGTGGGTGGTGGGTGGTGGTGGAGGGGTGGCGGGTGGCTTTTTACGCGATGACGTTGACAAAGTTCACAAGTCAAGGTGGTTCCGAGAGTCTCCCTTGCCCAAACGGGGAAGCATCTAATGCTCGGTGCCACTGAACCAGTGGTGTTAATTTGACGCTCACATAATGGAGTTCCTCTATTGTCTCTTAGCCCTTTTTCACCGGCCCATCCGAGCCGAGCCGGCACGGGTGGTTTTTCCCACTGGCCGTTTTGCTGTGCCGAGATGCGCTGGTCTCACGAGACACCTCGATCTGGCTCCAGACCAAGCGGGGCTTGGGGCAAGGCTAACGATGCGTTCATTGCGTGCGACGCCGATGGTCGTGAGCCAATAACGACCATTCCACATTCACATGGCGAGGGACAGTCTTCTACTGCAGGACGATTGAAATTCTGCCGAGAGACACGCGGCGCTTCGTTTTGTCGACCCCGGAGGGTTGACGGTTGGGTTGACCTTCAGAGTTCGAGCAACACCGGTTGGTCAATTCGTTTTACACGCAAGTTAGTTTTGTCACTCTAGTTAGCACAAGTTTTATATGCCCTGCAAACAGCGATCATCGCATGGCAAGTAATTCAAATTCTGTGTAAATACAATTAAATAAATCAGTTTTTTTTTTTAGGTGTGCAGACATTGGTTACTAGTCTGAGAGCAAGCTACTGTACTTGCCTGACTTGTAACCCAGATTTGAACCCAAAATCTCCAAGGTACGACTCGGCTGTTGTGAGCCCCCAGAGTCATGCAGCCATCGCACTTGTATTTATTATCACCACACCATGCAATCAATGTCTATAAACCAGCACATCAATTCATTGAACACTACGCATGCGATACACACAATACTTTGCTCTTAAGAGGGGAGGGGCACAAAGCGAGCGTTTGTTGTTTAAAACCTTAACGAAAAGCGTGCGATTCCCAGGTTGATGGAAACGTGCATTTGTAGCAATTTTGGTCAAGCAGACATCGATGCATGGAATAGAGAGGAGACGACAGTGAACAACAGGCTCCATATAGAACGTACTGCGTTGTCGCGCGATCTCCTACGTTGTTAACATAGGAATCAAGGGTTTGTGTTCGTGAATCAAATGCCACGGCATCCCAAAGCGACTCGCAATGACGGATGAATGTATGGGAAGAGTCAGAGGGAAATAAAAAGAGAAAAAAAACGACGCAAGCACTCAACGGCAGAGGGACACGGCCGACACAGAGACGAAACAGCGACCAGGTTGGACAGAGACAGTCGCCGAGAGATGCAGGAGCAACAGCATCAGAGTCCCAGGGAAAGTTCGGAAAACCCGAAAGAACAAAACATGCCTGGCCTGTGCCAATTTACACATCACCCCACCCAACTAACACCACGACATACTGCCAACAAGCACAACCCAGCTAATAATCACTACAAACCGTCACCCCCAACAACTCACATAACCACTGCCACCAATCACCGCCAACCCCAACCACCGCCATCCAGCGGCATAAACGACAACCCATCTAACTGCCACCATATACTACCACCACAGACCACAACCAACATAATACGACCACCTACCACCAAACATAACCACAGCCCATCCAACCACCACCACCGAGCATCAACCACTCCTACCCACCTAACCACCACCAAACTACCACAACCCACACTGCTGCACCAAACGCCAAATGTAGCAGTCAGGAACTTAAGCGGCAAAGAGATGAGTAGGATATAAGAGGGTGAAATGCAAATTCTCAGAAGCAACGTGGGGAAACGAGATGGAACAGGGTGAGGGACAAGGACATTGGGACACGTGGCAGGTAAACTGCTCGAAATAATTCAACAGGCAAAACCTGGGTGGTAAGGCCAGATTAGGCAGATGGAACATTACCCTAGTTGATTGAACCAATGTGGTCCAATCAGTATGTATGTTGAAATTATTTTGTATCCTGTGTAGCCAACTGTGCTAATGAGAGGTGCGGGGAAAGGACAACAAACTAAACACAAGAAGCAGTTCTAAAGAAAGTAGTTTTCAACCTAGCTTTAAAAGTGCATAGCTCCAGTGACTTTCTAATATCGCAAGGAAGAGCGTTCCAGCCGGCCGCAGAAGCCCTTCTGAAAGTGTACGATGCGGTGACCGCCTCTGTTCGATGGCCCAGTCAAAATCCGCCGCGAGGATGACCGCAGCTCGCGTGACGGTTTATGCTCCTTGACGAGATCGGCGAGGTATTGTGGTTCATTTGTGGCAAGCACTTTAAAAACAACAAAAAATGACTGTGTCAGCTGATGATATCGACGATACGTTTTTCCTTTCCTTTTCACCCCGCCGTTCCGTGTCCGCAGCCCTCTCCAGCGGCCCATTACAGGCCCCAAAACATTCTCCAGCTGCTCTTGAGCACGAGATTAATGCACCGTCAAAAAACCGTCCACAGGCACCTGTTTGCGGACGAGCGATTGGGGAGGGCCCGAGCGCGGAATCCTTGCCGCCGCTTGCCTTACACGGCGCTGCGGAGAGGCGGAAACTGTGACGAGCCGCCAAAAGGCTGGGACCTCGAATCGCGCTACGATTTGCGCGGTGGCAAGCGAGCAGAGGTGGTTTGGTTAAGGACGACGACGACGACGATGATGACGCAATGGCCCGCGGTTGAAATGACAAAACAGTAGACCTTGTCAGAAAGGCACCGAAATCTATTGACCGAAAGGGCACCGTTCATCTACATTTCATGGTTTTCCGAAGCGGTTGTGGAAATTCCACATCTCTATGTCTTGCCCTGACAACCACCACGTAGTTCCACAACATTTCAAAAACATCAAGATAATATACATGGTTGTAATTTTTAAGGTGATTATCAATACTCTGAGAAAGCTTTGCTTATTTATGGGAGGAGTCAATGCACTGTCACCATCATCCCAGCGTGGATGAATACGTCTGTTCGCTCAAAGTACATCTGACACCGTGGTATAGTATGAGCGTTTCTCCCCAATAAAGGAAGTAGGACAAATTATTTCTGTATGTTACTGACATGCTATGCTCAAGTAAAGAGCCACTACGTGATTACAGGAATGATTACCAATAACCTTAGAGTGTTTGAAACGTAGATCCACCATCGTGGAACTACGCCACTGTGAAACATTTCAACCAAGTAGGTGATGTTATTGATCCAGGAAGCGCGGTTGAACTCACACACTTGTACACAGACATAGACTGGCCAACAGAGCAGGCACATGCAGCAGAGGCCAAACGATAGGCACGCAGACACATCGATAGACAGACTGTTGGGGCAAGTGCTGTTAGCGAGTACCACCTATGAAGGCTGGCACGAGACACAAGCGGGTAGGTGGGCAGCACCACGCCCAGCAGCCTTTGTCTTCCCAGTGGCAACGTTTACACATTGCGCGAGATACTCATTTGAGGCCGAGTCGATCTCGGGGAGGCCCAGGACCGGTTCAGATAATCGTCACCGGTGTTGGTGGGTGTGAGCGGGAATCGAACTTGGGCCGCCGGGTTCCTGGCGCAGCGTGCTAACCACGACACTACCACTCCCGACAAACAGACAATAGATGGAATGGAAACCATACACACACACTGTGAAAACAAGAGGAAAAGTACAAAACACAGAGACATGCCAGAAAACGGCGGAGAGAGAGGCCAGGGCCGACGCACCATGCATCAAACACTCATGGACGGGGCAAAGATCGCTCATCGGCAGAGCTGGCCATGTTATTCTTAAGACATTGTTGGGGTATGTGCCAGCTGTTGCTTATTACTGCTGGCTGAATGATCAAGGGACGAGGAGGTGCGTGGTGAGGGGAAGTGGAGGGGGGGGGGTTGCGGGTTATGTTAGAGAGGTCTTGAAACGGAGCAGGTGTGGTTCTGTTTGCCACGGCCCCCGCTACTTTAAAAAAGGACAGCGCCGGCTCAAGATTTTGGGGGGCTCCCCCCCCCCCCATTTATACTACCGTTGTGCCTCCTATCCCCCCCCTCCCCCATGTGGAATTCTCGCCACGCCGTGCCAGGGGAACCGTCCGCGCGCGATGGCGTCACGACAAGACTTCTGTGACGGGAATACACCGACAGAGCGTTTGCCATGCGTCCATCAGACCGCGAATCTTATCACTCGGGAGTCGAAATGAGATGCATTAAACGAGGAACGCAATTTACTGTCATGGGTTTTTGTTGTTGTTGGTGTTGTTGTGAGATCAAAACCTGTGCTACAACTGAGTACCTCGCATGCAATCCACTCATGGCTGAATCCCAGATTCAAACTCAAGTGATGCCAGCTGAGTGGCTGTCAGAGCCAATGTGAACCCCTTAATATATACAGACAGAGACAACTCCACTCAGGGCTTGAACCCGGGATCTCAGCAATAATGCCCATACAGCATCGTTATGGGCGTAATAACGCACACATTCCGTCGTTACAACACATTGCTTTGCACACTATACGAGCATCGAATTGCGTAAGGACATATTCTGATTTGTATGACCTTACGTAATCGGTTCATTTGACTAATGTACGATACAAAAATACCAAAATCTTGAATTGAATAGCCGTATAAATCGTGACAACGCACTGGATCGCAATGAGGGATAAGCGTTAGAAGCTGTAGCATGAATACGACAAAAACACACTAATACACAACATGAAACAAATGCCTTACTAACACCGCATTGACTATAGGTGTGGTCTGGATTGGGGGACTGCCAAACCAAAAATAATGAGATCCACTTCCTACTCAGTATGTTCCAGGGCAAGGTGGAATTCGATGGCATTGCAGTCACAGCACTCTAGCACGAACCCCATACGTTCGATCCCTGCTCCTGGCACGGCAAAAGGACCATCCACGGCAAAGCACTGCAGCCTACTGTGACTTCTTCACCGTGGTGCCAAACAAACGTGCGCAAGGTAAAAAAAGCAATTGGAGTAGAACGCAGGGAGACCAAGGGG